TAAAAGCAAAGTTTGACCAAGCACTTCAGCCAAGCTGATACACATGGTGGATTGTTTGTTTGTTCAAGCTTTATTTTTTTTTTTTAGCTTAATGCTTCCCTCCAATGTAAGAGAGAACATATTTTTGTCTTTCTGTGAGTGAATGTTTGCCCCCTCCAGAGCTCATGTTGAAATTTAGTTGCTATAGTAACTGGAGAGATTGGACATGTAAGCATGGTGGGATTTCTGATATTGTAATACCACGAGGCAGACCCCTTTGTCTCTTGGCCCTCTGCCTTCTTCCATGGGGTGATACACCATCCATGGTGTTGAAATTCTCAGCTTCCAGAGCTTTGAGCCATACACTTCTATTTCTTATAAACCTCTCAGTCTGTGATACTGCATTATACTAGCAGTACAAAGCAAAACAGAACACAACATTCACATGTTCAGCCATTGCTCTTCCAAGCACGACTTTCCATTCAGGTTAGGTGGTCCATAGAACCTTCCAGCTCACAGTACAGACAGAGCAGCCTCCTCCCCAGAAGGCCTTGGGCCTGTGCACACACACACAGTCATGGTTCTGGGTGCCTGCCTCGCCAGGTGCAGATGCCTTGCCTTGCCTGACCAACCGAGGCATTTGATAGATACCTCCTTGGCTGAGAAAAAGTCTATTCTAATCGGCCTCCTCACTGTGCAGGCTCCCTAGAAACTCAACAAGAGCCTCGTACTTTCTTCCCAAGAAGTTCCCTGTGTTCTATCTGGATGGATTCACTTGCTTTTCTGTGACTGGACGTTTATGGATTGGCAGGTGGTCAGCATTGTCCCTCTCCACTGTGGACAGGAGTGCTTGCTGGCCCTGCCGGTCACTGACACTTGTCTCACCAAGGGAAATATTCTGGCCATCCCCAGAAGAAACAGCTAATATATTTTCAATGTGTCTTTCTCTTTTACCTATTCCTAAAATCTTTCAGAAAAATGGAAGGAAATGTGATTTTCTGTTCTTCCTATTCCCAACAACAATGACAGTAGCACCTGGTGTGAGGGGCATCATCATTATCATCTTTTGAAATGTGTTCATCTTTTGAAAATTTTACAGACAAAAGAACTTTACTTATTTCATCGAAGGCCCACAGTGAATTTAGAAATCAGGAGGAGCATTTTTCTTGCCTTACTGAGCTCAGAGTTAATGACTAGTCCCAGCCCTTGCAGGTGGAAAGTGATGAGGACAAGTCTAGAACTTGTGTTTTCCTTAAAAAGGAGATGTTCTCTCAACAAGACTAAAGCCAAAGTTGGGATGCCATGGAGCTTACTATCATAGGGCTTTCCTATGTTGATTCTAACATGGTGGAGTGTTCGCCCCGGGCTTGAAAACGTGCAGTCGTGAATTTTCAGAAATTTATTTCTCAAATACCCAGTTGGCCTCAGACCCAGGAAGGAGAGAAAAAATTTCTTTTGGAGTTTTTAAAAAATATGAGTTGTGATTTATTTGAAAGACTGAGTTAGTTGCAGAGAGATCCTCTATCTGCTAGTTCACTCTGCAACCTGGGTTAGGCCTGGCTGAAGCCAACAACTGGAGGTTCTTCCAGGTCTGCCATTGTAGTGGACATCTTCCACGGCTTTTCCAGGCCATTAGCAGAGAGCTGGATTTGAAGCGCAGTAGATGAAACACAAACTGGCACCCATATGGCATGCTGGCACTGCAGGTAATGGCTTACCCAAGCATACTACCACACCAGCTCTGTTGAGTTTTGACTGTATAAAAATCACAATTCTTTAGGGAGCTCAGACAGTGCCACAGTCACATTGTTGTAATGAGACTCAGATCCATCTCTTCAAGTAAATATCCCTAAGGTGCTTCAGGGTTGAGCTGTGGGGCCACGGATCCATGCCACATGAGCGACGTCTTCCATCTGTATGTGGTCCACACTTAGAGCCCTCTGCAGCTGGAGCAAGTTTTCAGCAGGGGACCCAGCATTTGAGCTCTAAACACCTAGGTATGAGAAATATTAATATCATTCATCTTGGGGAAGAGAGAAGAAATGGAGCAACTCCAAACTCTTCCAGGGAGTGCTAATGGACCTGAATTTCCAGAGTAAAAGTGTTGACTTGAGTTTTTTTTACAGGATTTGAAGGAGTCTCTTTTTCCTTGTCCCTCTCCCTTTTCTCTCTCCACTCCTTGATGCCTCTAGGATTTTCTTTTCATCCATTCTGCTTTGCCCAATGAAGCTGCGATTCTCCGCATACATGGTACTAACAAAACATGACAGATCCTTGGAAAGTCTTCAGTCTGCACCTGCTCGTTAGACTTGTTGACTGCTGATCTGACTGTCAAATAATAAGCAAAACTGCCCTAAAGATAGAAATGGTCCTTCAGGCCATAGCCAGGAAAGGTTAGCATCCCGGGATACAAACTGGATTTACCAGGGGGGAGCCTGAGTGCCTCCCTTCTCTCCCGATCCTGATGCCTGAATCCTAAGAGGTAGGTGAGAGTTCGATGCTTGAGGGATGAACCAAGTTGATCAAGAAACCTGCATCAAATAAGCAGGAGCAGCACTGGTGCTCATCTCAAGGAGTGTTTTTGCCAAGGGGAGAAGAGAATTCCTTCTGGATGTCATCTGTACCTGGCCTGTTGAGGGAGAATCCTGAACAGGTGCTGCCCCAGCAATTGCCTGGGTCCCAGATGAGTATCTCACCCTTTTTGAAAGACACTTGTTTTACACTGTATTTAATAGTGATGAGAAAATGACACAGAAAATCCCATGGAGTCTGAGAAATGCCTCACTCTGCACCACAGTTGGTCACTGTGAAATCTGGTGATCTTCGGTAAGCACCATTGAGTCCTGTGGTCTGGTTTGCCACTCTGCTTTAAAAAAAAAAAAAAATTAGAGGAGTTGAATTCCCCATAAAAATGTGGCCAATGAAAATGGTGTTCAACAGAAAATACTCATAGAATTCTCAAGAAACACAATTAAAAGGGCATCGGGCTGTGGTTACAGTGCAGTCAGAGGCATGGCTGGCCTGAGGGTGCTGTTTCCTCTCTCTCTGCACAGCCAGTCCCCTGCAGTCAGTGTGCCTTTGCTAAGAGGTGGTGTCAGCTGACCACAAAGGCGGCTGATGGAGCTGTGCTGCTGCTGTCTTTCCTGAGAGCTAATGGTTCTGAGCAGCTCCGACCGGCAGAGTGCTGGCCCCATCCATCCTGTGCTGCTGTTGTCTGGTTTATAGATGAGCTGGGCCTTGACAGTGATGGAGAAAGGGCTGGACTAGCAAATAAAACAGAGCAGCATCTGTACACAGGAGTTTCTATTTAAAGGCCACATCAGCTTGAATCCAACAGCTCCAAATCAGGCTGCATTAGGCTAAGCATTTTATTTTCTTCACGAAGGAGTGTAAGCTTGAGCAAGTGTGTCCTAGTGGCTCTGGGAACAGTCTCGGGGTTACGTGTTTTGTGCCACTTCCTCTGAAGCTGCAAGATAGCTGTTGATTTAGGGGAGGTGACAGTGGTTCTTTGTGCCTCCAGGGACACCTTAGGCCGAATGGGATGTTGCACCAGACACTCCAGCAGTTTTTCTTTGTTGCTTGCAAGGGTTTTTCTTACTTTGTGGCTTCCTTTGTCACCATGCTTGTTTAATTCTTCCAGTCATGCTTTACAGAGCACCTGCCCTTTGCTACCTGCTGTTTCCTGTTCTCAGGAATTACGGGGACAGATAGAAGGATGAAGTCACACAGTGCTTTATCATAAATCCGTGCCTTTGCTCAGCCTGTCATAACAAAACATCATAAACTGACCATGGAAGCTTGTTTCCCACAGTTCCAGAGTCTGGAATTTGGGGTTCAGGCTCCGTTGAGGGTGCTCCTCTGTTTGCAGCCTGGAGACTTCTGCAGTGTACCCCCATATGATGGGGTGAATCTGGGACTGGGTCTCTGCCCTCTTCCTTAAGGACTCAATCTCATTCACAACAACCCGTCCTGGTGACTTAATTCCCTCTCAGAGGCTTTGCCACCACTTTCCTTCACAGAGGGGTTCATTGGAACATGGATTTGGGAAGGGGGGCAGAATTCCTCAGTCCACAGCAAGGACTTTCTGCTGCTTTTCCATACCTCGTTCTCTTCATCTGCAGTGAAGCTTTCCTTAGGAACTAGCTGTGAGTACATGGGAAAGCGACACATATGACAAGACCTTTTGCAGCTGTAATATACCATGCAGTTGGTCATTATTATGACTGACTGAGCATTTATTCTAGAAACATTATTATCACTTGTATGAGAACACATACAGCCATAACTGTGCAGTTACATGATTTGAGGAATCCACCTCCTTGCTCCTCACTGCCCTGGTCAATGGATGCCATCGCGTCTCTCCAGCCCACTGAGTGGGTGTTTGTTCTTGACATTCAACCTGGCTTTGAAGCAGTGTGTAGGAATTATTGTCTACTCAAGACACAAAACTGTATAAATTCCTTAGAAAAATTGGTAGGTAGTATAATTAAAATTAGCAACCTTACTTAAATTATTCAAGACAGAGTGTTCTTCATATGGCAGGGATGTGTTAACTCCATCTTGGCGGGGACGGGGGGAGAGAGAGAGAGAGAGAGATCCTGTAAGGCTTCTAGGAACTCCTTGTAGAGTAAGGTGCACCTGGGTGAGTTCCCTATATCTGCTACTCTCCTCATCAATGTTTCTAGAAGAGGGAGATTGCTGAAGGGTAACATGCCAACATGGGAAAATTTAGCAGGCTCCAAATTCCTACCAAGGAGCACTGCCCATGGTTTGACAAATGACCTTGTCAAAATCAGAAAGTTTGCAAGATGTGGAACAAAGGTCTCCTGAGATTCCATCGCCATTCAGTGAGCAGAAGTCTTCCCACGATGCAGTCTCATTCATGTGTGATTTTAAGCTTGGGAACTGGTGATGCAATGTGGGGTCATTAATTTTTTGAACCATGACAGACTGCTTCTTGGGGCTGCTAGTATAGGGACCATGCTGAAGTTCATGGGCTCTTCTTTGTTCTCGCCTCACAGAGAGCAGCAGCCTGCACTCAGCCTGCATCCACGAGAACACGGTACTTAGCCGAGTCTTTCAGATCTTGTACAGGAATGAAGAGGTGCCCGTAAATGATGTCATGATCTTCCGAGCTCACCTTCTCCTGGACGGCGAAAGGGTAAGTGGTGAACCCCGCACCAGCCACGTGTGACTGCTGCCTCTCCTTGTGCACTAAGTGAGAAATGAAAGGGAAACAGTGTATTTACCTAGGAATGTGATAGCTGTGTATTCATGATTTCAGAGCAGAGAGAAAATGCACTTACATTTCTCTCCTTCCTTCCTTCCTTCCTTCTTTTTGTATTTTCTTTCATGAAATTTTTTGTTCCATGCAGATAAGATGGTTGGCAGTCTCCATGGCTACTCTACTGAGTCACTGTGTGTGTCTCTTACCCAGACCATCAATAGAGGCTTACTGAGTAATGCTGTTCTCAGGGTTTGTGTTGGACATTTGGATCAAGGACGGACTTGAAGAAGGAAGAAGGGCCCTTAAGAGGTTGATATTTGAGCCAGAAAGCAGACAATGACTAAGCATGGCGAGAAGTGATAGGCACTCAGCTGCCTGCGTGTGTGGAGGAATGGCAGGGAGGGAGAGCTAACAAACCTAGGGCCAAGCGCAGTTAGCGGGAATCGGTTCTCAGCTGCGTGTGCTGTGAGTCCATCAGAGAGAGGAGGGACATCCTAGGAAAGGCACAGAGAGTGAGTAAAGGCTGAGAGAATGGGGGCGGGGGCAGGGGCATTTTCTGTTTGTCAGAAACATGGTTGAAAATTCCTCATTCTGCAAATTAAGCAGTTTGAGAAGACTGTTTGAAGTCCAGATCGTTGCCGTCACTCCCCCATCCCACCTCAAGTCCCTGTTGCCATGTTGTAGCTGATCATTTCTTTCTAGAATGCCTTCAGTGGCATTGATGTGTTCCTATTTCAGGAAAACCTAATTAAAGTTCCCCCCCCCGAAAAAAAGGGAGAATCAAGATGGCAGAATGGGGGTAAGGACACGTTTAAATGGATGGAAAAACATTTAATCAGTATGAAGCAGAGAGGACATATTCCAGGAAATAGGAAAGGACAGAACAATAGCAGAGGGATACCTGGACACTGAAGACACAGGAAATCAGTGGGCACAGCAGTGTGGTGTTGCAGTGACTAATACCCCAGCAGTATTCAGCTAGTGGCAATCTGAACTCTACCAGGAGCCAGAACTCCACCAGCAGCCAGGTGGGAAGGGACTTTCACTGGGAGCTTCGGAGGTGAACCCAGACAAAGAATTGTCTGTCCTGCAGGTCCGTTTGATTTGACCAGGAGCAGAAACAGAGCAGCAGATTCCAGATGGGCAGTGCGAGAACAGGGTGGATTTCACAGCCCAGTCAGCACCCTAGAGCCGAATTGGGTGCCATTTTGCATAAGGAGGCAAAGGCAAGGGAAAGGACTGAGCATACGCTGAGCTGGGAGTGAACTCACTTCTGACTCAGTGAACTGCAGCAATGGGGAATTCTACAGGTTCCACCCAAGACAGGTCTGGGTAGCCCTCAGACCTGATGGCCAGCAGATCAAGAATTCTAGTGATGTACCACTACTGCGGCAAAAGCTTTAAGACTGCAGGGAATAACAGTGAACTGCACATGTGCTGAGCTTGTGAGAACTCACTGAGTTCAGCAAATTGCACTGGTCCCACAGGAAAATAATACCGACTGTGGCATCATACAGGTTAAAATAGGTCCATGTGGCACCCAGACCTAACGTCTAACAGGTTCCAACAAGATCAGCGCCACCAACAACCTAACTAGATACGACACCTGGTGTCTCTCTAATCCTAAGACCTGCTCCAACTGGAAATGGGAGAAAGGTTGCAGAGACAACAGTGCAGCCTTAGCACGGTATCACAGGAGGAGAGTGGTGAGCCAGGAGCTGGGGCTGTAGAGACCATGGTGGAAATCTAACATAAGAACCCAGGCCTGGAACTTGCTGGAGGTTGTGGCACAATTGGCTGCAAGCAAAGAGTTGTGTATCAACTGCAAAAAGTAAAATTGCATTGTACACCTGTGGGTGATACAGCTTAGAAACCTGCCCCAAGAAGAACACTCTGCTAACCAGAAGTACAATGACCAAGAGCAAAAGAAGAGACAAAGGCACAATGAATATTACTGAAGAGTCCTCTGCAAAGGAGCAAAACCCTATGCCAACTTCAGAGTTAACTGAGGAAGACATCGAGAAAATGGGGCATACAGAATTCATAAGACTCACTTTAAAGCTTCTGATCAAAAATGAGAAACACGAGAGTTCAAAGAATTTAAGGAAGCAGTAAAGCAAATCAAGGTTGATATATCAGAAATTAAGAACACAGTAGAACAAATTAAAAATACAATGGAGAGTCTCAAAAAGGAATGAAGCAAGCAGAAGAAAGAATCTCAGAATTGGAAGATATTTCTTGTCATCATGGGGAAGCAAACAAAAATCTGGAAGCTGAGCAGAACTGGATCAGGCCAAAAAAGATATGCAAGAATTTAAAGAAACTATTAAGAGGCCAAATATAAGAGTTATGGGAGTCCCAGAAGGTGCAGAAAGAGAAGCTGAGGAGTTTGCAAATGTATTTAAGGAAATAATCAAGGAAAATTTTCCCAATCTAGAGAAAGAATTGGGAAACAAGATCCAGGAGGGTCACAGAACTCCCAACAGGCTTGATCAAAAGTGATCTTCACCAAGACACATGATCATCAAGCTTTCTTCAATTGAACACAAGGAAAAGATCCTTAAATGTGCACGTGAAAAAAAATCAATTGACATATAAAGAAATGCCAATTAAACTCATAGATCTCTCATAGAAAAGTCCACAGGCAAGAAGAGAATGGAGTGACATATTCCAGATTCTAAAAGAAAATAAATGTCAGCCTAGGATAACATATCCAGCAAAACTTTCTTTTATCTTTGAAAATGAAATAAAATTCTTTCACAGTAAAGGAAAGTTAAAAGAGTTTGCATCTTCCAAACCTGCCTTACAAATGATACTTCAAGATGTTCTCTTGACAGAGAAGAGGAATAGCACCTACCAAAACCAAAGGCAAACGGGAAGAACATCCCAGTAAAATGACAACAGAAGACTAAATTATTGAACAACCCATTCCTAAAATGACAGGATCAAAGTTCCATCCATACATAATAAACTCTGAATGTAAATGGTTTAAGCTCAATCAAAAGTCATAGATTAGTAGACTGGATTTAAAAACAAAACACATCTATTTGTTGTCTAGAAGAGACACATTTCACCAACAAAAATCAGCTGAAGTTATATCTCATGGATTTTGATGTTTTTGTTAGTTTCATCTCTTCAAAACAGCTTATTGTGATTAAATTCTTCAATCAGGCATAGATCATACAGTAGCATCATTTTCTTCAAGAAGGTTCTTGATTTTCACTTCTTTAGCTACACGTTAGTCATTTAATAGCATGTTATTTAACTTCATGGTGTCATCAATTTCTTTTTTCTCCCTGATGTTGATTTTGTTTTGTGGCTTTTCATTTAAGGGGATATATAGTAGTTCTGTAATGGAGACTAACATTCAGATGTGAGGATGCATGTGGTATGCATCTCTACTTCCAGACAAAGATGGGCTTACAATGAAACTGTGTGCTATATCTTGACAATAGGATTCTGGACTCTGCCATTGTCCATGCCCACAATGATGGACATATAACTGAGTATGAAGAATTATATGTTAGTAATGATATAGAGGAACTAGGCAGGGGGGAGGGAATTGGGAAGGGGATAAGGGAAATGCCAAGAGCCTATGGAACGGTATCATAAAATGATAATAATAATAATAATAATAATAATAATAATAATAATAATAAAATGTGAAAAAAAAATGTCCCCCTATTCACATTCCCCATGCAATGCGCATTGTGATTGCTACTGGGCATCTGACTTTACTCTCCCGTGCCCCTTGGCTTTTTGTCCACATCTTTTATGTTCTAGGCAGTGACCAGATTCCCCTGTGTGGGTAAAAGTAAAAGGCTCTGACTCATTCTGCATTAAATAATTTGTCCAGCCCTCAAAGTCTTTTTGAGCCCTCACTAGGCATCCACTATGTTCTGGAGGTAAAATGATAAACAAGAAAATAACCCCAGTGCTTTGAGGCTTGTGTTTTCATGTTAGATCGACAAATCCCAATGTAACCCAGTATGTTGGTTGTGTATGTGCAAATATAATGTGTTACTGAGCCTGCATACTACCGCATGCTGAGCCCACTGATCTGTGAGAAATACCCGTGAGGGATGTAGGAGTATGTGTTTGCATCCTTATTGGAATCCTAATAGGGAAACTGTGACTACATCCCAAAGAGGAGAGGCCACAGGCTGGACCCTCTCTGCAGGACTTGACGGGTTGTCAAGAGCTCAGCACAGTCATCACCATGACCTTCACAGGAGATGGAGACCGTTTCCTGGAGGAGGAGTGACAGGGAAGAGAGGGAGCCCCCTGAGAAGCCAGCCTTGAGCTGAGTGCCTGATCCTGAAGATGTTCTAGGCCTGCGAAGGTCTCCGAGTTGGTGTTCCTGGAAGAGCTTACGGCCAAGGCAAAGGCCCTGGGTGGGAATGAGTTCCAGATGGATGAGGAGAAGCTTTGAGATCAAGGTGATTTGTACCATGTGTGAGGGTGGAGCATCAGAGAGTAGCGTCTGAGAGGAGGGCCGGTCCAGAGTTTCGGAGTACTGTGGACATGGGAAGGATGTAGAACTCATTCTTGGATAATAAAAAGCCATTGCTTTTTGTCAGGAAACTGTAATGGCACAGTTTTAATTTGATGATTTCGTCGTTTCACTCAGTCTGTGTGTGTCTCCGGACTGGAGCCTCCTGTCTCTGAATTCCTTGCACTCCAGTGAAACTTGGTAGTGAGAGAGTGACTCAGTGGCAGAGTAATGGTACTGAGTTTCAACTCTCTCCTTTTCAGGGTCTTTGTAAGTTCTTTCTTCCAAATGGAAATGAAGAGGCTCCATTTTCCCTGTGTGGGTGGCGCTCAGCCCTTACCTTGTACCGTGCCCAGGCCACGTTCATCTTCCTAACAACAACATGAGGCTGATTCCTTAATTTCTTAAACTACCACAGTGCATATTAATAGTTTGTCTGCAA